ATGTGTGGCGTCGCAGCGTGTAGTGTGTCGGGAAAATGTGCAGCCGTGTGGCGTAACGTGCGTGCTGATCTGGCGTACGTGTCGGCCAGGTGTTGGCCGGGGCTGTGTGTGAGGACGTCGTGGCTGCGACCGTGTGTCGCTTGTTGGGTACGTGTGTGCGTGTTGGCGTACGTGTGGGCGTGGTTTGCGTATGTGTGGGCGTCGTGCGTGTGTCCGTGTTGGCGTATGTGTTGGGGCGTGTTGGCGTACGTGTGGGCGTGCGTACATGTGCGCGTGTTGGCGTATCATGTTATGTGTGTGCGTATGTGTGTGCGTGTTGACGGGGTTTGTGTGTGCGTGTTGCGTACGTGTGTGCATGTTGGCGTGTGTGTGGGCCGTGTGGCGTACGTGTTGTGGCGTGTTGCGTTACGTGTGTGCGTTGTTGGGGTACGTGTGGTTGCGTGCGTACATGTGGCGGTGTTGCGTATCATGTTATGTGTGGGCGTACGTGTGTGCGTGTTGACGTATGTGTGGGCGTGTTGGCGTACGTGTGTGCATGTTGGCGTACATGTGTGCGTGTTGGCGTATCATGTTATGTGTGGGCGTACGTGTGTGCGTGTTGACGTATGTGTGGGCGTGTTGGCGTACGTGTGTGCATGTTGGGTACATTTGCAGCTGTGTTGGCGTATCATGTTAATGTGTGGGCGTCACGTAGTGTGCGTGTTGACGTATGATGTGGGCGTGTTGCGTATAGTGTGTGGCATGTTGGCTGTACTTTGCGCGTGTTGGGCGTATCATGTTATGTGTGGCGCGTACGCTGTGTAGCGTGTTGACGTATGTGTGGGCCGTGTTGGCGTATGTGTGGGCGTGTTTTCGTATGTGTGGGCGTGTTGGCGTACGTGTGTGCAATGTTGCGTACGTGTGTGCATGTTGGCGTGTGTATGTGCGTGTTGGCGTGTTTTGTGTGTGCGGTGTTGGCGTATGTGTGTGATGTTGGCGTGTGTGCTGTGCGTGTTGGCGTACGTGTGTGCATGTTGAGTGTGTGTGTGCGTGTTGGCGTGTGTTGTGTGCGTGTTGGCGTATGTGTGGTGTTGGCGTAATGTGGTGGGTTGGGCGTATGTGTGGGGACGTACGTGTGTATGTGTGTGTGTGCGAGAGATCATCTTCGTCCGTAAGATACACACATCGGCCGACGCCGCCTGTATAACAAAATAGATCTGACCAAACGCGGTAAAGAATGCGATGATTCCGCGTGTAATATCATATATATATATATATATATATATATATATATCCAGTTTATTTATATAAGTATATCAGCGAAGTGCAATAATAATATAGATTATTCGTGGATCAATAGATTATAATCTATTATTATTCACTCCTGTATATATATATCAGGGGTTAATGATGACGCAAATTGTCATTATTAACCCGTGATATTTATATATATATATATATAAATATATGGTAATTTTAGGCTGTAGGCCATATAATATAAAATTACCATACACGTGCTAATTGGCAACAGTTTTGCGCAATCACGGTAGCGATAACAACTGTTATTTTTCCATCAAAATCACAACAAGAGTCGGGAGAAATGACAGCGGCTAGTATACAGAGGGTATTGGAATTCAGCAGACCGACTAATCAAGGCTCGGATCAAGGCGAAGGTCGCTACGCGGATAGTCACGGACCGGCTACTACCGGCCGCCATTTCTTTGCTTCTCTCGCTTCTGTGTGGATCGTTATCATTGCCGCTGCACGTGATGTGCACGTGCACCGTCCTCGGCTGTCTGCCTTTATCTCTACGTTTAGAATAATTGGTAAACGATAAAAACGATATCTTGGTAAATCGGTGTGTGCGTCTTTACTCCTACTATTCGTAATATTATATTCTATTTTCATTAATTAATTAATTAATATTATATTGCTGCCTTAGCGATGGATTCCTCCTATTATCCGCTTGTCATGCATGGCCTGATCGTCGTTATATCTGAAAGGTCCATGTGTTGAGCAGTCTGAAACCGCTGTTTACGGTAGCTAGCGTAATTAACATTACTTTTCAGACACACTCGCGTTGGCGTATGTCAGTCTTGTGTCTTCGCAGCTGACGATAATTAATAGATTCGAAAAATAATCAATGGTTCGTAAGTTTACGTATATTTTCGATTATAAACATCCTGATGCAAACGCATTATGTTTTCAAACGATATTTGGGTGGGATCAGGTGGGATGTCGTTATCTGTGATTCTGGGGTAATAAGACGATTCGCCTATAACGCCTGTACGATTCGCCGCAACGCCGGTCAAGGAATAGTACGCTAGAGGATCACCAGGTGGCTGGTAATTTCTAAGCTTGTTTATGTGATGTTCTTTGCATAGACATGTAGCAGAGGAATATAGTATATTGTTTGGCAAAAAAAATCACTGTTTATACGAATAGGATTATATGTCCCCTTATAAGTATCGAATCTATTTATACTGACTTATATGGGTATTGATAATGATACTGTAAGTAATGGTGCTCACGGGACCGTGGTTTCAGTATTGATGTGGGTTTTACAGCACCCAGAAACAATGCACTGGATTAAGTTCAATGTAGATCCCTGTGTTTTCGTTTGTCTGTACTTATAAATACATATGCATTATACTTGTCTGTAAAATATTAGTTAGATAAGAATCGTTAGATGATATAATCGTAGGACATTAACAGTTGTCTTTCCTTACACTACCCTTCAATGAGAATAAAATTAAACGAGAAACTTCATTTAAAAATGTTATTCCTCTTCTATAACGTTTGAAAATTTCTTGCACGTCATAAAAAAATTTACAATTTTTATCATGCAAATAAAAAATTATCTATCCCATTTGAGCCCTTTTAGATTTGTAATCATTTATTGTAAGACCGCGAATAGCAAATACTGGCACACTACAAAACACAACACACGCACGGCACGAACGACCATACTCGCCGCCAAACACAACACACCGCACGCACGACCATACCGTAAGCCGCCCGCCAAACACAAACACAGCGCACCCGACCATACGCGTACCCGCCCGCCAAACAAACACAGCACGCACGCACGACCATACCGTACCCGCCAGCCAAACACAAAAAATGAAATCAAAGAACGGTTGAGATAGTAAACTCATAATACAAAACGGCATTTTATTGATGCCATAAAGTAGCTAGCAGAAAACGGACACGTCTCTTTTGCCATTCATTCAACTGTCTCGGCTTACTGTCCACCATAAAAAGCTAATAACAGCACATCTTGTACAAGAAGGCTATAACCGGAATCCATACATTTTCTAATAGGATCATAAGTGACGGCCCTGAATGAAGGTCAGATTACAGCAAGTGACCCCTGATGAAGGCGCACAAGAGCCCAATGTAAGCTGTTCGACGTCAGACAACGAACCGCTACAGACGAGATGCATAGAATGACGTCATGCGCAACCTATCTCTATGCGCACCGGTGCCATAGCGAAAACGCTACAACTGCTGGCACCTACGTGTATTGCATGTACATACAGCTGCGCCAACTACGTGTATTGCAGTTGAACTACACTGCGCACCTAATGTATTGCAGTGCACGACCACTGTTTGCCACGTGTATTGCAGTGCACGACATTGTTACCTCCTACGTGTATTGCAGTGAACTATACCTGCGGCCACCTAAGTGTATTGCAGTGCACTACACTGTTACCAACCCCCGGTGTATTGCAAGTGTGCGCGTCGCCATTCAATACAACCCGTGCCCCGAAACTCACGAAATAAATCAGGAAGACGTTTCGAATCGCTGCGTGTAGCCGAGGTATTATATAAAACACGGCTCCACCTCGAGCTGATATATGTATGGTTGATATCATATCACACATTGCACTCAGTCGGCGTGGCTCCATCTGCAGCAACCTCCGGGTTATGGAGGACAGCCCATTGGCTACACGGGTAGAGCTGGCAGCCGCTATATGGATGGCAGCCAGCAGATGCACGGCGCAGCATTTTCGCGGTATTTGTTCACCGCCGAGAGAAGCATCAGGATCGCTTTTGCGTGCGAGAGAGTAGAGTAGAGTAGAGCACGATGCGCAAGTTTAGAGACATTCGACAGACGGTGATCACCTCCATTCATCCCCGGTCAATCTCACGGCACCCAGCTGGGCTCTACCTCACTCTACAACCACGCAGCAAATGGCACTCTGTAAATGAGGGGTCGCGCCGTCGTCAGAAGCAGTTTACAATCGCTAGAGCGTGAGCCTTTGACAAGAAAAGGTCGTCGTCATTTCATCATCGCATTGCACACAGACTTGAACATTGACTTAATGCAGCACTAGACAGCACGCCCCCTTTCCTCCTTCCTACGCTCGACCGCCCCCTCCTTATTTGAATAATGCACGTTGATAAATTCTACGTGCGCGGCCCGGTCAATCTCAGTGGGGTTTATCTATAATCAGGGCCGGTAGCAGGAGATAATTAGCATATTTTAATCACGTGTTTGTGTTATACCAATGCAGATGTAATGTGCGCCTGTTCGTGACGTCTCATTCTGCAGCTGGCGAAGAAGATGGTGAAGGAGGAGAAAGGGGAGAAAGGGAGAAGGTGGTGGAGAATGAGGAGGGAGAAGCTGGTGGAGAAGGAGGAAGAGATGAAGGGAGAAGGTGGTGGAGAAAGAGGAGGGAGACAGGAAGGGAGAAGGAGAAAGGTGGTGAGGANGAGAGAGAGAGAGAGAGAGAGAAAGAGAGAGAGAAAGAGAGAGCGTGCGAGAGACAGAGAGAGAGAGCGTGCGAGAGACACAGAGAGAGACCTAAGAATAAACATGCGCGCACGCGTGCACACACAGAAAGGCGAAGGATAATAGCGGGGAAAAGGAAAGGAGTGAGAGAGAGAGAAGACAGAGGGGAGACAGGAAGGCAGAGAGGAGAAAGAAGAAGGCAAGTAGGAGAGAGAGGAACGCAGAGAGGGAGAGAGAGAGAGCGCGCGAGAGAAGCACGGACGCGAACAAGTTTGGGTTTAAAAACTTAAATCTAACCTAATTCTTTAGCCTGCCAGTATGTTCAACATATGAAGCGCGCATATATGAATGAATCACTTGGACTTTCGTCACGCCGTGACGGGCTTCTCTCTTGCGAGATATATCACGGTCAGTATACACGTGGTCCGAAGAGTCCCCGCCATGTTCTCTCTGTGTTTCTGTCGTCAAAGATTCAAGCTGTGATCAAGACACAACTTCGAATGCGCACAATTACAGCTAACGTGAGTAAATAAATATACAGGAATTCTTGCTCAACTGAAGCTTCCGTAGTTGTTATAATTTCATACTTAATTCATGTCGTTTACTCGTTTAATTACAGCATATAAATGGATTAATCAGGATAACACACACATACCTGACTGAGTTAAATTGTAAGTACCCTTTTCATGCGTTATATTTGCATAAAGATGCGTGGTTATAGTATGACTTAGTGATAGGGTATAATTAACGGTAAAGTCTATATGTCAGGCATTGTCCATCGCCAGACTGGAGGATACGGAGATTTATGACGTTTTCGAGGCAGCGTCGTGCAATGATTGAGTGGTTACCGGTCTCCAGTTGAACATACCAAGAGGTGCACAGAGATATACGTAGGTGTTATTATATGAGATATATATATATATATATACAACATTTATAATATATATAATTATTGTCCATTATACCTGTTAACCTGTCAGCCTGGGCAACATTGCCAAATAGTCGATATGTGAGTCAATCACCCCTGATTAGTTCTCCACTTTTCTGAGTTCATGTAAACCAGATATTAAATTCGTGCACGTCAAATTTCTAGTGCAAATCACGTCGCTGAAGGACACGGAGAATCAACATGTTTTCGAGGCAACGTCGTGCACCGCTCGCCAGTTGAGCATACCAAAAAGTTCATTTTTAACGTAGGTACTATTTATTATACTATAGCACACATATGTTATGAATCTATATCATGAATCTGCTGGTGTTTTCTAGCATTAGCGATATGTTGCAGGTACTAGATTGTGTGGTATAGTGTATATATGGTATATATTTAACGTACGCTGACTATTGGGAGAGGTTATACGGGTTATTATGGGGTTTATAGTGAGAATGAAAGGAAGCTATAATTAATTTGGACTAGGATATTCGCAGAATGTATTTACAAACGAAATTTTAGAACCATTTTGTTCGTAACTCGGCTGTGCCTTGTAGAGTAGGAAGTGGAGAGAGAGAGAGAGAGAGAGAGAGAGAGAGAGAAAGAGCGAGAGAGAGGCAGAGAGAAAAATACAGAGAGAGAGAGAG